TCCCGCTCCAGGGGTGCATCTCTGAGGACAGTTGAGCACAAGCTCAATAGAAGAATATAAGCACTACGTACAAGTGTTGCAGAATTGAGTCTTGGACTAGAGGATTTTAGGGGCTTGGTATTAGTCTTTGGTTTACGATCTGTGACATACAAATGGAGCCCGATTAAAAAAAATAAATAAAAAAGAGGAATTTCTGTATAAATTCAGATCTGTGCATACTATGCACGCTGTGGACAGTATGCAATGGCTCAGAGGTCTTTTTACATTAGGGTGTGATTCACCTGAGCACTCACCAGCAGCCACTTAATTTCTGAGGCATTAAAAATTAGGAAAGAACCCAAAGCCAAGAGAGCTTGAGATTAGTAACGGTGAATTTAAGAGAGATGCTACCTCCTTTGTACTAGTAGAAGGAACCCCATGTATTTTTCCCCTCACCATTATTACATTCTCCTAGGATTTTTACTTTTTTTATAAACCTCTCATGTTTGATGTTTGAGAAAAGTAAAGATCTGTAGATGAGCGTTTTGGTATGATTAAGATTTTATTTCACTGCTTTTGCCCAGATTCAGAGGCCACATATCTGGTCAAAATATCTCTTTTAGGTTGTAACAACAACAACAAAAACATTAGTCCGTGTCATGTCTACAGTTCACAGATTGCATGTTTCCTATTAATGGCATAATGAACATTTTCATTTTTGTACTAAAAGCACTACATGAGTTGAAATGGTTACTGTGCTTCAAGTAATTGCTTGTATTAAAACAAATAGCAAAGATGTGCAAATGAACCATCCAGATTGGCTGGGTCTAATGGATCTTTACTTATAAGAAATTCTATTTGGAAACAAGAAGGGCTTGCCTTATCAAGGATAAACAAAGCAAGGAAAAGCAAGAAATCAGAATAACTCATTTGCTTCATAAAGTATGATGTTCTTTACCTAATATTCAACTTAAATAATTTTCTACGCACTGTGAGGTAGAAGGGTTCTGGAATTGACTTCTATCATTTAATAGGATGGTATCAAAGAGGTAATTATGCAGAAAAAACATGAAAAACAGCATAGTTCATGGGTGAAGATATATCTAAATGATATTCTGAGGCAATGCTTTGCTGCTTGCTTATAAGAGAGTGGTAACAAACTGAACAGAAGGAAATTGCTTTCTCAAGGTAACCAGGTCTGTATGAGGGATGGTACCAGTTGTAAAATAAATTGCTTTTCTAAGGACAAACAATTTGTTAGTATAAATCTTACTCGGGACTAGTAACATTACATGAGTTTAGTGGCCCTGCTGATGGAAACGGGAGACAAATGGATCCAGCTGAAGCTGTCTGGACTGTAACTTCGGGCATTTTCAACCTTGGCGAACTTCTCCAAAGAGTTCCTGCACAAGTTTTAAGGTTGATTTTAAGTGGCAATTATCCAGAATGGAGAAAATGTAGCAAGAATTACATTTGGATGAAGCATCATCATTTTTGTGCAGTACAAAGGAACTTTCTGCCAGGCTTCTAAATAAGCTCGTGTAGAAGGATATCTAAGGTCTGGAAAAGGGAGATGAATAAGCTCATTGGGAGCTCTACTCCCATGTAGAGACCCACCATTCCCGTTATAGACCAGGCTGTTGTGTCCCAACTCAGAGCTGTTCCGCACACGTGGCAGAATTCAACAAGCTCTGGGCAGGGGCCAGCTTGTCTCCCTCCCACTGGAGACCAAGTTCTTTTCCATTCATAAATTAATTTAATTTCCTGCATTTCCACTCTTTGAAGTGTGAAAACATCAGACGTACGACCACTCTGCACAGAGAGGTGAGTCATGAAGAGATAGGTGAGAGATTTATCAAAGAGAGGGGAAAATGCCAAAGACTCTTTGAAACTCCTGAGGCTACATTTACGTTAGCAAGTAGCAAGGCACAAGAGTAAAACTGTAGAGTTTGTCTCACTTACGAAAATGCAGCATTTTGGGGGCAGAGGATACTCTGAATTATCTCCAGTCTAGCCCCACCAGCTGGGACATGTTAAATATGGATTTGGAGGACCTTCTCATTTAGGTTCATTTGAAAGAAATGCAGTTTGTGCACTCTGTGAACCAAAGTATTGTAAGTGGCAATAACTGGGAGATTTCTATTGTTACTGTTATTTTTTTCCCCCAAAAGTGCATTTCTGACAAACTAAAACACCAATGTAGGTGCCTTGTAGGAAAGGCTCAAATAGAAAGGATCTGCAAGACAGTAAAGCAGTAATCAAAGCAAGAAGGAGAAACAGACAGAAGAGAAGCTAAGAAAAAGAGAATCTCCGAAAGTAATAACCCTCATTAAAACTGGAAAACAGAGAAAGGCAAGAACAGAGTGCAAAATGCTCTGGGATTTCTGGATACCTTTCTAATGACAGCTGGGATGAAAGCCTGAAAGCCACAAGTCAGAGCACAGCAAAATGAAATTTATTGAAGGGAAGATGAATGTAGTGCAAGCATATAGGGTACTACACTTTTAAATGCAGAAGAAAAGGTGCCGAAACAAGGACAGAAAAATTGAAAATTAAATGGTGAGGATGCAAGCAGTGGCTAGAAGGAGCTGGGATTAAGAGAACAAGATGAAGGTTAGCTGAAGCAAGCAGAGCAAATATTTTCAGCTGAATGCAGTCCAAACCCATATATCAGGAAAATTTCAGACCCCAAGATATTTTGATCTTCCTGGTTTGTTCTGTTCTGCCATAGTGCTGTACCTTTACATTTGCCTGTCCCCTAGAGTCATCCCATTGTAATGCCATACCTTATTTTTCTGATTAGGCCTATAGTTGAAATACAGAGTGACTCATCAACAGTATTTCAGCTGAGTGAACACAATGATTCTAATAACTATCTGCTAATTAGCAGGTTTTTGAGATAAAGACAGTTGAATAGCTTGCATCCTCTGACACCCCAAATTAATAACGCTCCAGTAGCAAATAATAAAGTCGTAGAGATTGGCATTATTACTTTTTGGTACAGTACAAAATAGATTAAAATGAATCTGGCTTGTTTATCTACGCAGCCTAGACCATTTCAAAATGTTGAAGATCTCTGCCTTGGCTGTAATATCCAATGCCCTAGAGAGCTCTATATAAAGCTAGAAGAACTGCTCCTAAAGCAAGATTCAAACATTTCTAGATGACAACTTTATGAATAAAATTAATTAACTAACAATTCATTACATTCTAAAACCTTCATCTGACCATAATAATTCTTGTTTGCAGCCCAAACAGTATTCGGTAATTGCAGAATGATGGAGCTATGTGGATATTTTTTGATTACAGTTCATTACATAAGATTACAAGGAAGAATTTGTCTTTGAATCATAATGAAAACTTAATTGACACCACTATGTTAAAATATTTCCAATGATTAAGTTTCAGTCTGTGTCTTAATCAGTTTTATATTAGAAAGAGATTTTAACAAGATAATGCTGTGAACATAATTTCATTGCATTATAAAACCTTTGGCTGGATCTCGTAAGTAATTAAAACTCCAGCCATCTTAGAAATCTGACACAAATTCAATTCCAAATTTAATATTCTTTAAGATTATACAGTGTCAAGTTTCTTTTATTTTTCTTTACTACCTGTAACAAAATTTAAGCTTCCCCTCTCCCCAAATAGTCTAAAATTTATGCTTCCAAGATGATTTCAGAGGGATAAATGTCCGACACCAGAATTATGCCTCAGGACATAAGTTAAACTTAAGCAACAACATGGGTAATATTACAAAATGCAATTGCTTTTCTACACAATATGTGCAACAATTCCCAAAGACTGCTCTCTGTCACTCTATCCAGAGATGCTCCCAGCTGAGGCTGAATGTGCCAAGAGCTCACTCAGATACAGAGCAGTCATCAATTAGGCTGGAGCCTCATCCAATAAAGCATTTCTACCATGAGCTCACATTTGTTTCAGAGGCCTTTCTCAATACTGTATTTAATAAAAGACAGATAATCTCTTGTGGAGGTAACAGGATGCATTGCATACTTACAGTGCTGCCCATCCTTCATATAGACATTACTGGCTGCCAGCAGTTTTAAAGTGTCAATAGCACATTTTCACAGAATCATCTAGGTTGGAACTAAAATACCTGGAGAGAAGGACACAGATCCACTCTCTTAGAAAATGCCAGGCTGTTGTGATTCAACCTGCCCAACGATGGGCAACTACTACCTTACTTTCAGCTGAACTCCCTCTGTCATTTATGAAGATCTCACAGCTTGAATTAGGACTCATCAAATCACTGCACTCGTTGACATTGAAAGGGTCCACCTGGCTTGAGAAATCAAGAGAAGTACAAAATCCAGGCTCTCATCAAACAGCTAATTGCTGAACAAGAAAGAAAGAAATTAAGAATGGTCTGTGGGAACAAAAAAAAAAATGTTACTCACACTATATTGCACGGTTCACAAGTTAATGCCCTGTGTTAAAACCTGCTATAACTGTTGATAAGATGATTAAAACCACTCAGCCACAATATCTTGGTCCTAACTTCAAACAATATAACCATGGATCCATATCTTGGTACATATTTTTTTCAACAATACGTATATGTATACATGCACACACACACACGTATAAAATGCGTGGTTTACAGAACCAAGCAATACAAGTGTAGAGAATGCAAATTTAAAATACATTTACAAACAATGTACACATATGTAAATACACAGTTACAGGCTAATGAATTTTCTGTTTGCTGGAGAATAGCCCAGCTCCTGTCTGAGTGTCAAAGAACATCCCCTGTGTTGCGTGATGACAATTTTCTGTGTGTAAGTGACACCAAGAGGTACGGAGAAATGCAGGTGTTGGCAATAAATTAGGGCAGTATATTCATTGTTTCCTCTCCCAAATATCAATTCCATTACAGTCTTGAGTACCACCTTGTCGAGAATAACGGAAGTGAAACAGTGAAATACAGACACCATATAATAAAAAGAAAATTTATTTTTTTCATTAAAAATATTTACACATACTTTTGCTTTGTTTATGTACATAAGTCATAAATGTAAGTTTAAAGCCCAAGTTTAAGTGTTGGGATTTAAAGAACACAAACTTATTGACTTAAATATTAGCTTCAAGTTATCTGGCACACCTTTCCCTGGCACTCTCAGAAAGCATTTTGCAGTAAGCTCAGCTTGGAATAGCCACCCATTTCCAAAAGCAGCTGTCCCGCCTGCCCTGCCACCTTCCCCCTTCTTGTGTGTGGAAGCTGTTTTGCCTAGAACTACACATTGATTGTCTAAGTCTTCAGTGACCAGGTAAGGGAGCTAAACTAGTGAAAACCTGGTTTAAGAAAGCTGCAGTGAAAAGCCGCTTCAAATGAGCGATAATTTTCTTCAAGTTTAGCTACTCAAACCAGGGTGGGGTTAGATAAGCACCAGAAGATTGACACAAAAGGGCAGAAATTTGTCACTGGGGCTGGTGGAGAGAGTAAGAACCACTTCTTTGCTCAGCTGCTAATCACAAGACCATCTTAACTGCATTACGAAAGCATAAACTTAGATGTGTAAGACAAAAGTCTCTCCTGCTCACAACACATCACAACAAAATTTCGCATTGCATACCATGGTTTATTCCCTGTGCCTTTGACAGACTTACAGGAGACACCCTGAAAAGTAGCTCTGCTTGTTATTGCCAGATCTTGATTTCTCCAGCCCAATCACATGTCGCGAGGAGCGATGGCAAGACTGGGTGAAATATTGCACTCACACAAGCTTCTTTATGTGCAGACAAAGTGCGAATAATCCTAGCAGTATGATAGTTGTAGAAAAACACTTTGCCATCTGAACTTCCCGTCACCAAAAGTGTTCCATCTGGAGAAAATTCACAGCCCACTGCAAATCCTTCCACCTGTGAAAACCAATAACAGTGTAACTCCTGATGCTGATTAGAAAAGTTCATTGTGATATACTGAAAATGAATATGGTATGCCAAAAAAAAAGCATCTTTAAATAAATATACACCAAGGACTTCTCCAGGTGTTTATTTAGACACAGCTATAACACAACCTTATTTAATCAAGCTATTAAGTATTCATAAGTCTTCTAATAACTATTTTCTTCAGAGTGCATATGATTTAAAATAGACTGGCACACAGGAAAGCAAATGAAGCCAATTAATATCTATCACTGATTTATAATCAAACACTATTACATATTAAAAAGCACAGGTATTTTGCGATCTGTCTTCCTTCTAGATTTGGATACTAGCTTCCCAGTGAAAGAGAATACCTTATGTCCTTCGTATCTTTTCTTTTTGTTGATTCGGTAAGGTCGCTGGCCAGAAAACAAAGCCATGTAGTTCCCATTCGTCTGAGCAACAAACACAGACTCTTTCGGGTGCAGGGTCAGGCTTGGACAAGTGTAACGCTCCTGAAAATAATTTTAAAGAAAAATAATGTGATTCATCTGAAAAAATCTTTTTAACCTGAAATTTGAAAGACCATAAAAGGCAAAGTATACAGAAGTCATCTCCATAGTATACATTACATAAAGATACTTAACTTATTACAATCTACTGAAAGTCCTACACCCGAGACAGATATCAAATCAAATCTCTACCCTGATTTTCTAGATATTGACCAAAATCTCACTCTGAACATAATTATACTGCAGAAAGGTAACTCCAAACTGATGGTACTCAATCATCCTCTTCCTGCCCAAGAGAAACTGAAGTTTGAATATGAAAGTGAATCCTTTTCTCCTGTATCCCTTCCTCCAAAGCCATACTGTGCCTCCCATGCTACTTTGTACAGTCATCAAATCCTCCATCTTCTCGGCTCTGGCCACACTGACAGGAATAGAAATCATCCCATTTAAACAGACATCTTTCACTGCTCCACTCGTATATAAAAAAAAAAAAAAAAAAAAAATGCTCCTGTATCCCTTCCTCCAAAGGCATACTGTGCCTCCCATGCTACTTTGTACAGTCATCAAATCCTCCATCTTCTCGGCTCTGGCCACACTGACAGGAATAGAAATCATCCCATTTAAACAGACATCTTTCACTGCTCCACTCGTATATAAAAAAAAAAAAAAAAGAAAAGAAAAAGAAAAAAGAAAAATTAATCATTATTAGCTAACTATGTCAGAAGTTACTTACGACAGTGATTTGCCATGTAGACTGCTGCTGGCTGTAAAGTCATAAGTCTCTGCAAAAATTAACACTTGGCTTTACACTAGTGTTCCTATTTAAGACTGAATTAAGATTCCTTTCAAAACTCAGCATGGTGAGAGCACCAGAAATCAACTGTGCTCACGTTTCCACCAGGTCCAAATGTATTCTACGTTCAGCCTAATCCAAAGACACAGTGCTGAAGTTTGATGCCAGGAATACAAGTTAAGAGAGCTTTGGCTGTAGGATGTGTCTGCACATGAAGGACACCAGGCTGACCATGACCACTGGACACCATTGTGGCAGTATTGTGTTCAGTTTTGGGCCCCTCACTACAAGAAAGACATCAAGGTTCTGGAGAGTGTCCAGAGAAGGGCAGTGAAGCTGATGAGGGGTCTGGAGAACAAGTCTTATGAGGAGCAGCTGGGGGAACTGAGGTTGTTTAGTCTGGAGACAGGGAGGCTGAGGGGAGACCCAGTCTTATGAGGAGCAGCTGGGGGAACTGAGATTGTTTAGTCTGTTTAGTTCTCTACAACTCCCTGAAAGGAGGTTGTAGTAAGGTGAGGGTCCCACGTTTCCACCAGGTCCAAATGTATTCTACGTTCAGCCTAATCCAAAGACACAGTGCTGAAGTTTGATGCCAGGAATACAAGTTAAGAGAGCTTTGGCTGTAGGATGTGTCTGCACATGAAGGACACCAGGCTGACCATGACCACTGGACACCATTGTGGCAGTATTGTGTTCAGTTTTGGGCCCCTCACTACAAGAAAGACATCAAGGTTCTGGAGAGTGTCCAGAGAAGGGCAGTGAAGCTGATGAGGGGTCTGGAGAACAAGTCTTATGAGGAGCAGCTGGGGGAACTGAGGTTGTTTAGTCTGGAGACAGGGAGGCTGAGGGGAGACCCTCTCGTTCTCTACAACTCCCTGAAAGGAGGTTGTAGTAAGGTGAGGGTCAGTCTCTTCTTGCAAGTAACAGGCGATAGAACAAGAGGAAACGGCCTCAAATTGCATCAGGGAAGGTTTAGATTGGATATTAGGAAAAATTTCTTCACTGAAAGGATTGTCAAGCATTGGAGCAGGAAGGGGTTGAGTCACCATCCCTGGAGGTATTTAATAGACACATAGATGTGGTGCTTAGTGACATGGTGTAACAGTAACTTGGCAGTGCCAGGTTAATGGCTGGACTTAATGATGTTAAAGGCTCTTCCAACCAGAACGATTCTATGATTCTATGATTTGTTAATGCAGACAAGCAGTAGACAAGATCCTGTGGGGATCTGATCTGTTTGGAGAGCTCAGGGGTTCTTTCTCGCCTTGAAGGGTTCAGAGGTGAAATTCAGAAAAGCGAAGCAGAGTTTCCAAAATGACCACCTAGTTTTGTTTATTCACAGTGCAGAAAAGGGAGAAAACGGTTCGTTTCAGAGATGCTGTAAGTCATCAGATGGTAGGCTGTGGGGGGATTTTTGTTTGTTCATTTGTTTTAGTCATCAGATGGTAGGCTGTGGGGGGATTTTTGTTTGTTTGTTTAGCAGGGGATAAGGAGAAAAAAATTGGTTGGTTGTTTTTCACTCCTTGATACTGAACCTGACTGGTGTGTACTTTATTCACATCTTTTTTTTCCTTTTTTTTTTTTCCTTTTTTTTTCCTGTTGCCTATCCAAGATGTTGACAGATCCAATATTGGGCAAAGACATAACTGTGGAAATTGAACATGAAACAATCCCACGAGATCATCAGCCTCATGTCCTTGTCAGTAGGGAACTGTTCATTTCAACCAAAAAGCACCTATATACAATCCAATCATATCACATTACACAGGATATTAGACTTGGGTTTTCAAAAAAGGCCTAGGGAGTTGGAATTATCTATTAACTTTCTTGGTAATCTCCTTTGAAGCTGTCAGCCTTTCTAGACAATTTAGTCCATTAAATGTCTTGCCTGGATAGATTACTGAGAGAAATACTGCACCTGAACTGATAAAAGTAAATTTTGCCTCTGTGATTATGCTGAACTAGATATCCATATGCATGTAGCAGGTTGCTATTACTATGCGAATATTAAACTCAATTTGTGAGTAGCCCTCATTAAAGCTGATGAAAAAGTGTGGGAAAGGAGATGTGGCACTATAGCAACTACTGCCATGCACCACTGGCAAGCTAGAATGGCATTGCAATGGCCTTACCTAAATATAGCTCAGATGTCAGTGAATGAGCACTGAAATGTAAATATTTTTAACACAAGGAGACCTGACAGTCTTCAAGGTCATTTTTAAGAATAAGTGTTTTGAAAATATAAAATATAAAAATAAAGCAAGCCCTCAACTTACATTCAGAACATTTTATACACCACACAACGATCTCGCAGAAAATCAAAAGCTTTTTTTCATGATGTTGACAAGTATGAAATACTAAATCATAATCCAAAGAATACTAATTGTTAATCTTACATGGAAAATCTGATTGGAGATTTTGGCAGCACTTTGGAAGTCCCATGCAATAATGGTACGATCAGCTGAGTCCCGGCTCACTGCGTCTGTGCTTGTAAGAAATTCTCTTCCTTCAGGGAGAAAAAGTATATCCAATGTCTGTTGTACTGCAGCTTTGTACACTCTTAACACCTAGTGGATAAAAAAGGTTATTTTTTGAGGGATTATAACATGATAACTTATGTTTTCTCTCTTTGTACTAATAACTATCATCTCCAACAAAGTATATACTATTTTAAAATGTGAAAAAGTAACTAATTTTTAAATGTTGAAGTACTAGTGTACTTGTTAATATATGTAAAGAGTGCACACACAGGAAAACTAAATGCGATAAAAGAAAGTATCAGTTTGTACAATTTATGTATTATATTTACATATACATAAGATTCTGTTATAAATTCCCAAGGAACTAGCATTAGAACCAAAAAGAGCTTTAGACACCACAGTGTTTTGGACCTGGGTCTACACATACTCCCTTGTATTTTATGAACTCGGAGCACTCTGAGGATCAGTCTGAGGATCTGTCCCTTCCTCCTTCTAGGAAACTTCATGAGTGTACGGTTTTGGTATTTTTGCCCTTAAAAGCTTTGGGGGACCTGGGTCTACACAGACTCCCTTGTATTTTATGAACTCGGAGCACTCTGAGGATCAGTCTGAGGATCTGTCCCTTCCTCCTTCTAGGAAACTTCAGGAGTGTACAGTTTTGGTATTTTTGCTATAGCTATAGAGCCAGGGAAAGTAATTAGGTCAGTGAGTATTTGGGACTTACAGGTATGAAAAGCACATGGCAGGAAGTGAATATTCTTGTTGGTAATTCTGGACTTGTTTATAAATCACTGTTTACGACTGGGGATGAGTAAAATTGATGATTCAAGACTCTCACGGTCCCATGCTGCTGCATGTCACTGCCTAACTTGCAATGGGTGAGACCCCAGTGTCAGGACCATACAGGAAGGGAGCAAAGCTTGTATGTTCAGTCAGAAACTGCCTGTGAGGCCAACATGGATGTGCTCAGCAGAAGGGTGTTTCCCCTGCAGAAGATATCTTGGTCCCATGAAGGACTCGGTCTGACACTCTCTCCTGAAAAAAGAAACCCAGGCAGAGTTTACTCTTCTAAAGGGCTGCCAGGGAGCGAGGGATGGAGTTCCATCCAGTTCAGCATTATAAGGACACAGCCAGGATCCTGCCTTTGTCTACAGGGGATTCAATCCTATGCTTCCCACCTCATCTTCCTACTGACTGTCGTGGCAAGAGGCAGTCTCTGCTGCTTCTGCTGAAGCAGAGGCTTTTTCTGCCACTCTGCCGAAAATGCAGGGCAGCAGGGAAAGTCATTAGTACTTCAAAGCACATCTGGGCTCACGAGTAAATAATGTGTCTCATCCACTAGTTCCCATCATGTAATTAATGCATATGAATAATCTCAACAGAAGCTTGTGATGTAAAAGGAAATACCAAAGTTCCCAAATCTCCTTCCCAAATCAAAACCACAAGAGTTCCCAAATCTGGATCCTTATTCAGGACTTATACCAAAGTGGGTTGGATTCCTGCAGAGATAAGTCCTCAGCCACAGGATTCTGAATATTTTAACAGCCTGTGAGTTGGATCTTAAAAAGTAGGAGAGATTTTGAATTATTCTAAGGAATACATGAATAATATGAATTTCCTTTTTTTCCACCTTTCTTCATGAAATTCTGCATCTATGTTGTCTACTTTGAATTTTGTGAATCAATACCTTTGCTTTCTTTTTCTCTGATTTGCCTCCAGTGAAGAGAAACTTCAAGGCAAGTGGCCAGATCAAAGCAATCCATCTCTCTGAATATGGTGATCCTTAAAACTAGGACACTGGAAGACTCCTGGTTATTAATATCTAAATCTCTCTCTCCAAGATAGCTGAAACATAGCAGCCTGCACTTCCAAATGAGTGTTCAGAGGTTAGTCCTTCTTCTAACCTCACTTGAAATACCAGCTGAGCAGAGAGAGGGCTTGAAGTATTATACTGAACCAGTTCCCAACTTTGTGAGGCATTTCAGCGCCTGTCTAACACCCTTCACGCAGCACATGGCTGCAGAGATCAGGGCTAGAGCTCTGACAGGTACTGTAAGCACACAGCTGTTTTTTAAAAAAAATAATTTTCCTGGATTATACTTCTGTTTTATACTTAACCAATGAAAGAAAAATCACTTCAAATATCAAAGACAACATGCGAACTTCTTGATTTCTCGCTTCAAGCTCAAAAATCTATGGCTGTTTGGAAATGATCAGAACTAGCTGATCCTGCTCTAGGGTAGAGATACACTAGACAATCTCCTGAGGTCCCTTCCAGCTCTGCCTTCTTGTGATCTCCGTGTGTAGAAGGGTGGCAGCAGCAGCTGCTCCAACTGATTTTCACAGGCTCTGTGAAACGTAGGGTTTAGAAACGCGATGTTCTCATTCAGTGAAGAATCTCGGTCCTGCAAGCACCCTACACACCCTGTAATAACATCAACAAGATGTAAACCTGCAGACTCAAAAAACCCGGCATGCTTTTCAGCAATCCGCCTGCATTTTTAAGGCAGTGAATATACGGATGTGTTGCTTGCTCTAGTCAGATTTTTCAGCCTAGGAATCTGCATAATATACAAAGCGATTAAACTTTGTAAAGCCAAAAGTGATATTTGCATATTTATAGCCTCTGCTTTGTCTATGGAGAAATCACCATGCATAGCTATTTCTTCACAGAGTTATAAAAAGAAGCCCATAGTTCATTAGTAAAGTAGAAAATTAAGCTATTCTGTACAAAAAAAACCCCACAACCCAAAACCAACCCTAAAAAAACCCCACAATATATACCCAACTCATAATAGCTGCCTGGAATGAGAAATGGAAAAGCATACAGAAACCTGACAGCTGTAGGAACTGCAGGAGAACTGAAATAAAGGTAAATTGAGAGGAGGGGACACAAAAGGCTCTACCACCCCAACAGACTGAAAGAGGCAGCTCCTTCGCAGCAGGCACCTTCACAGAAGTGACAAGTCCCAATCGGAGCGTCGGGAAGATCAGAGAGTGGAGAAGCACAAATGTGTAGAAACAGGGACAGAGAGGCAGAAATAAAGGCCAACTGCTGCCAGGAAAGGAAGAAGAACAATATAGAGCAATGAAAGGTAATAAATTCCCAAATGGTAATTTAAGGTAGTGATTCTTTAATATTTTCTTATTTGAAAGATGAAACAAACCCAAATATACTCAGCTTCTAAAAAACCCTTGTGAAATGCACATAGTTACGTATCCATACATACAGTCTGTCCAGCACTGTTAAGGGGATAGGCTTGAGGTTTGTGACTTTTTTTTCTTAACACATTTTTGGAGCAAGTCTTCTCTCAGTAATGGAAAAAGAAGGGACTGTGAAGTCGGTAATGGGAACATACTGTTAATTTTGCTGAATTCATCGGGCTCTTACATAAACTGTCACTGTCAATTTGAACCTTTTTTATGGCTAATCATTAAATATATTTGCTTGTCTGTTATTTAATAGGATATCTAACCAAATTACCTGTGTATCTTAGCTCTGCAACAGAAAAATAAAAATTAGTACAAAAGACCATCTTTGTCTATATGTTTGATACATACCTTAGAAAAACTATGCTATTTAATCTTCAAACCACATAGTAAGAACTGACTCAGAGAACAATGAATTAACACTTTGAATAGCAGTTGGGAACTTGATATACGTAGTATTTAAATTCCCCCATAAAGATAGCTTTCAAAAATAACTAATTGCAACACCCCTGCTCAGAAAAGTACTCATAATTAAACCTGCTTTGTTCTACCTTAGACAATTAATTCCTGACATGCCCGAGGAATTTGCTTAGGGAAAGCACCAGTTTCCCTACCCTGCTGGCTTTAGTGTGTTAATAACAGCTTTTGCTCTTTTTCTATTTGCAGATTTATCACCCTTAAGCATTTGGAAAACCACAGTCCACTTCTTTAATCTAAGCATTTTCTGGACATAAAAGAAATAATTTCAAAGGAAGGTGTAATAGTTTCTGGTGTCAACACAATCCAACATAATAATAAAGCTTCTTCACTAAGGCAGGAGTTCATGGCTGCAGGCATTCGACAAGAAAGGTAATTTAGGCAAATTAAATCAGTTTCAAACAGATTCTTTTGGTTCTGGTGATTTGAAAGCATGCTATGATGCTGAATTCAAGGCATATCTTTCAGACGGATGTTCTATTGCCCTTCTCTGCATAAAGCACACGGACTGCCTGGTATTTAGTTTGTCAAGAAAGCTCAAAGCCTCCACACAAGCAATACAGAAGCTGCTGCCCTGTGCTGGTCACCTGCAGCCTGTGTGCACTGCACTTTCCTAAATTCTCCTCAAACTTTATGCAAGTGATGAGAGAGGAACATTGTTTTATAGTCATTGTCCTGAGCATCAGGAGATAAAGCCTCAAAACAACTCTATTAAGACCACAGGCACTCTGGGTGGTCATGGAAAAAAACTCTTGATGAGTCAGTGCCTCAGTTGCCAACCTGTAAAATGGCCAGCTTTTTAATTTTACTGCTTGTCCTATGTTTTTAGATTGTGTGCTTTGGTATGGAACTGCTCCTTCCTACTGGCATGTTGGGTAATTAATGCAATGGGGGACCGATTTGAGTTTCCTCTCTGAAACAGTGCTACACCTATACTAGTCATAAAAAGTGCATTTCAACTTCAAAGAAAGCTTCTTTTGCATAAAATACAAGCATTTTTATCTACTGCAGTGCAAGCCATTTGTGCTGATCTATTCTATAGGGTAAGGTGTTGAGGCAGATGACACCTATTTGCTTTTTAGCTACATGTTCACAACAAAGCCACAACCACACGACAAATCCAATCTATGTCTCTGATCTCCAACTGAAAGCTCTAATGGCAGTTTTAATCAAAACACACGAGAACATCATAGGGAAGAAGATCAAGCATGCTACAATTTGATGTTCTTTCAAAGTATTTTAATGAGTAATGTATTTCTCTTTATGTTATTGAAAAAAAAATATTTTGGTTTTCTATTTAAGTTTTTCCTGTTTGTAACTGCTCTGTTTTCAGACATAACTCAAGATTATCAAGAGGTCCTGAGAATAATTAAAGAAAAGGGAGATTGATTAAAATGAAT